CAGGAAAATGTCTGCCAGTACATAGCACAGGGGAGAAGCAAACTGGTTGAGAGATGTTACTGTACAGCTAGGAGGGATGGAAAGGACATTGCCCTGTGACTGCGGGTTGTGAGAGGATTGTACCATGTAACCTCTTGCTGGGAGGGTCAGATTGTTGTGTGATGCTTCACTGTTTTCATGTGGGGAGAGCAATAAATCTGGAGACAGGTTAAGGGGCCAAATGCTGCAATATGGTAATTTTCCTAGCACATGGTCATTTAAGCTGACTGCGTAGCTGGCGCTGACCATTGTTTTAGGGAAAGTTTTTATGATAGCTGTTTTAAAATATGAGCTGCTCCTTTACCCACTGTGATAGATGACAGAAATCATTTGTAGCCCCACGAGAACTTTTTGTCTCAGTAGCAGTTTCCCTAATAAAGGAAGGTCAGTGAATAAGAAGAAGGAAGGCTTGTGGAAGAAACAGAAATCCAGGGTGCTCTATTAGGCTGTGGAGAGACACACAGATCTTTGGAGAGGATTCATTAAAAGCTGATGCACTGCTTCTACCATCTGTGGACCTTATTTAGATGGCTAGTAGAGTTGGGCTGCTCTTTGCAAAAAGCTTAAGCTCGCACAGATTGGGGAGCTGAGCCCTTTTTTTGTATCACATGTGTTCTGAGGGCTGTATAGACTGTGAATTTTATGTGGCTGCTCAGAAGCACCAGGGTTATTTGACTTATAGCTCCTTAATTGGCAACAGTCAAAACTAATTCATCAGGCCTGTTTGTGGAGGTTTTTATTTTCCTAGGTCAGGGGAGCCTCTGGCAACTTGCTGGAGCAAAGGAAACACAAGACCGGGCATACTCCTATCTTTCTTTCTTCTCTCTGGTGGTTATTGGATAAAAATAAGGCATTTGCATATCATATAACGTCTCACAGTGTTTGTATATGGGGCAGGACATAGTCCATGTCCTGCAGGATATACATGACAGAAAACCATCCTGTTACATGATGTCAATGTCATTTGAGTCCCTGTTTCCCTGTACAGAGTGCTGACTGTTTCAAAGCAGTTGTCGTGTTGGTGAAGGTAAATGAATCCACATTTCTGCACCCTCCTGAGAATCTGTTTATGGGATAATCTGCCTGGTTATGGTGGGTATTAACAGGAACTTTGCTGGATCCTCAGGATCCAAAGAGACACAGTTGCTTCCTTGAGGGAAGCAACAGGCAGCTAGCACCTTCAAAACTGCAGCTTTAGAGACATGATCTGACAGGTAGCCTGGAAACTTCTGCCTTAATGGGAAACTCAAATCAGAATCCAACCCAGAACTACATCTACCTAATAAGGAGGGCCTGACTACAGATAAAGAAGAGGGTATAGTTTTTACTTTAAAGCAGGAGAGATGGAATTTAGGTTCACTGAGCAAGGCCCTTAGTTTTTCAAAGGATGGATGCAATACCGAGTATGGTGGTAGTATGAAAGTATCAATAAGGAAGAGGGCCTGGGGAATCCTGGAAAAATGCTATCATAAAAATGGCATATTAAATTCCTGAGAAAAAATTAAAAGGCTCTAACCGTGGCATTGTGCCTGAAGAGAGGGCATTCTGCAGAAACTGAGGTAAGGGAAAGCTTCTATAGATAAATAATTGACAAAGTTGAGCAGAAAAGCAAACCACAGCTAGTAAGCGGTTAGTTAATGCTAAGAAAGAGACTGAATTCTTTTGTAAGACCAGTAAGAGTTGAGAGAGAACACTGCTGCCAGGAGCTAGTGTATTCTCAGCATTTTGAAAACTAAACCACTTTGGACACATAGCTCTATCTATATCTGTGAAAATACACAAAAGAAAAGTTGTAACACAGGCATGCCAACAACTTCTGATCATGTAAAGTCCACAGTCTTCTTCACCAGAATGGTGTGTTCGGTGGTGTGTTTGGTCCGTTACAGAAGAGCAACCTCCTCCAGTTCTGCTCTACTCCCTCTGGAGCTGACGGTCTCACTTTCTGCTTCAAGCTCTCGCTTGCAGCTGCAACATCACTAGCCATGATCACATTATGGTGATTCTCGGTTGTAAATTATGCTGAGGTTTTGGAAGTGTGAAAGTGTATGGAACTAAGTTTATTTACGTGACAAAAGTGCATGTGTTGTGTGACCTTATTACGACCTTAGTTACCTTTCCAGGTAACTAACAAAGAAAAGCCATTTATCCTCAGCTGACAGCTAACATTGCCTTTCCTGTGGCTAGTGCTCCTGTAGGCAGTTGGGAAAGAGTTACCTGGTTTATTGCAAGAGGAATAAAAGGCTTGTAGGTATATGTGAGGTGTTTGTCAGGATCTGACAGACATTCAGGGTTGCTTGGTGTATATGATCAATGGGAAGAAGTTGTAAAATTGGCAGGACTTTGGGATCAAACCCCTAAACATAATGGAATCATGTCCTGTGCAAAGACTGGGGCAGTCATTTGTGTCACCCTCTAATCTGGAGCGCCCGACTTGAGGTATTTTGGATCTGAAGACTAGTTTTGATGATGACAGAATCACATCACAGGCACACTGGAATGTTCTGGCTGCAACAGCAGCAGGCGATACTGCATTTACTCTTAGCCTTATGCCCCAGGCTCTTTGGTGACAGTTGTGTAACTCAGTGTACCTTTGCGACCTTGTTAGTTGTTTGAGGAGTTGTAAGGCTGGGTTGGGAACATGGCCTGCTGGCACTCTGCGAGATGGCGTGATGGGAGGAGGGAGAAGGGTTGTTTGCATGGGGAGGCTCAGTATGGGAGGGAGTGTGTTTTTGAGGTAGGGGTGTGTGTAATGGGAATAGGGATGTTTATGTGGGCACACACGCCCATATGTGGTGTGTTTTTCCCCTTTTTCCTGGGCTCTGGGTGTGTCCAGATCAACTGAATTCAAAATGCTCCTTTTTTGGCACTGTAGCCTCTTCTCTGGTTTGGCATCTTAAGAATCTGGGGGAATCATTTAAAGATCAGAAAACTCCATTCACTTGGGCCCCTGAAGGCTTCACATTCTGTGACATGGTCATTCCAGTCGACTGAGCTCTGTCCCCTGCGGATGAGCCCATATAAGGAGGCTGTTTCCTGCGTTTCACGCTCCCTGCCTGTCCCTCTGCCCTCCTGTGCTCCCTTTG